AAAAGCAAAGGGACACCTGGGAATCGTCCCTCATTAACTACGCAATAAATTTCAAAAAATATTTGTTCCGATGCTGAGAACAATTGTTAGTAGGTAAACACTAATATTTGAATAATTCAAGTTTAAAGGTTGCATATCAATTTAGACAGTTTTACACTGGGTACTTATATAAAATACAAGTATTTACTAACACATAAACAGTTTGTTTTCTTATTTTATGCCTATGGTTAAAGGACATTTTCTTCCTTCAAAGTCACGGTACATAGAAATATCGTATACCTGTAGATGAGTGATTTGCAGTTTTATTGTACCGTTAGGAGAAAAAAAATGAGAGAAAAAAACTTTTCCTATGTAAAGAAACTGAATCATACATTTCATTGTACTACATAAGGCGAGAACAAGGAAAAACGTTCCCATTATCATGATCATGATGGCTGAAATACGAGAGTTTTTAAGAAATACGTTTGAAATCCCCGAGATTTCGCATGAAAAAACTTTTTTGTATAACACAAAAGTGTAAGTATGACAGACCATTAAATAGATCTTGATGAGACGGACGCAAGGGTGTGTATCGCGTCCTTTATTGACGAATCTGATTCCACTTGCAGCTGAAAAGCTTGGATTTTCAGTGATAAAATGACTTTTGAACACAAACTAATTAATAAAAGAGACAAAGTGCCAAATATAGTTTAGTACATGGTTCGTATGTGTTTATTTTTTACGATTTTATGCTTCCAAGTCTCGTCTTCCATTCAAAACCTTTCCAAGAATTTTCAGATAACCCATTCAGTGAAGGCATCGTTTTTTAATCTCGCATGACAGAAAATCGAAAAGTGACCGTGTGTGAGTTTTACGAAAAATGACCAAAAAAGGTGCGACGAAGGTGCTAATCAGTCAGGTATTCTGAAAGTCCAGACTTTATTCTATAAGCTGACTGAATCACTCACTGTAAATAGTAAAGAACGAACTAGACAATAAGTATTTCTTAATGATATATGATGCTAAAAACTGGCTTTCGCACTTTGCGCGTTCAATATCTTTGTATCTCCTTGAGATAAATTCACGATTTTCTCTGCGATAGTGAGGATAAAACAGAAAAATAAAATTTTAAAAAAAGCTTGAAGATCGATCCATAGAGAGAGGAGAAATTTAATATTTACATGTCGCATTGGAACGGTACAATACAATTGCAAATCGCTCATACAGTAGAACATCTACAAAAATGTCAATTTTCGTGAAGCTTTCTTCAGTGGGTATAATTTCTTCCCATCTATCCATTCTATGTGTTAGTAGCAAAAGTATTACCAAGCAAATCGAGTAAACTGAGAACTGTACAATCTGTCAAAAGATTCTTTGCAATATTCTTCACAAAATTCAAGAGTAGAGACTCGAAATTATCATAACTCAAACGTCGCAGTCCGTCAAAAATAACAAAATTAATAGTAAAATAGCAAAATGTACATCTATCCATTGGAACTTTTGAAAATAATTAGAAATTCATGCGAATTTATTTAAAAAAGTCTCATATTAAATTTGTGCGCATTAATATTTTTCTAATTAAAAATTAATTTAAATCAACTAAATTTTAATCAGTTAGAATTAATTTATCAAGTTAAATTAATTTGAATTGATTTTTAATAAAAAAAAAATTAATTCGCGCACTAATTTGATATGAGACTCTTTCTTAAATTAGTTCGCATTAATTTCCAATGGGTAGGATCTTTCGTATAATAAACATAGTTTAACAAAAGAATTTTTTATAGAGATTGGAAACATCTCATTTTGTCAGAAATTTATTTTCTTTAAGACGGAGTCATATTAGAGAAGTTTCTGATTTAATGCAAAGAATTAGTTTCCTTGCGTTCTATCTTTCCAGGAATCCGAGTTCCACAAATTTTCATGACACCTGCATACACATCACTCCGAGTTAAAAGTTATTCGAGATATTACAGTCCTATTTTGAATTTGTTCTAATTATTACGAACGAGCAGAAAACGTTTAAAACAAACTGTTTCATAGTTTTGCACTGGATTCTATGCAATAGTTTGGGAGTGAGTGAGCATTTATTAGTAAAGTTAGCTACTAAGCTTAAATATTAATCATTTCTCTGACTGTTAGTGACCATTAGTGCACTCACTAGCATTGAGCTAGCTCAATTTGTGATTCGAAGATTAGTAAGTGATCACATCGTTTAAAACTATCCGTTTTTCGTTAAAAAAAAGCAAGAAGTCAGCTGTTTTTAGTTATATACTTTTATTTTTTTTTCTTTAATAGAATTTTCTTCGATGAGAGTCGGTACTGTAAATCCTTTGACTGCTCGAGTAACTTTATCATGATCCAATGTATTTAAGTCTACACGCAGTTCGCCAATTAGATCGAAACGAACCTTACGATCTGTAGCATAAATATGAAATATTAATGTTTTATCTTGCTTGTTAGCAACAGATAAATCCTAGAAGAAAAGTAAATGATTATAAATTATCAAAAATAGTAATCATGAGATAAAGTATGCATGCACTGTACTCATGTATTCATCCATTGCAGATAGCTTTTTATAATAAAGTGTTGAGGGGTTACTTAGGCAAGTGTTTGGCTAAGGACAAAAAGATAAAGTAGTTCAAGTACTTGATTTCTCTTGACAAGTACTTGGTTCATTTGCGAAAAAGTGCAAGAACGTTGGACGAAACTTACGAGAGTACTTGCCTACGTACCAGCATGAAAGCACATTCACTAGGGTTGTCTAGAGCTAGTTATCTTTTAGCTTCTATGCTTTTTGAAAATAATAAAAAAATTATCTAGCTTCTTGTTTCCGGAACTTTTCATTCTTTCAGTTTTCCATTTCCTCAACTTTCCATCTTTTTAACTTCTGCAACTTTTCATCCTTTCATCCTCATCACTCACTTTCCTTCTCATGTATATTCGTATATTCATAAATAGGGGTGGCACATTACTGTTACTTTTATGAGTAGTCCAAATATTGTAAATATTTCTATTACCAGTAACAGTCCTACTTTCCAGTTTTACTGTTGCTGGTAATAGGAATGGTCATAAAATATCAGCAACAGTAAAACTGGAAAGTATGACTGTTACTGGTAATAGAAATATTTACAATATTTGGACTACTCGTAAAAGTAACAGTAATGTGCCACCCCTATTCATAAAAACTATTATCCGTTCCAGAAGTCAAGGCACTCGATTGTTTTCTGAATAACTTTTGATAGGAACAAGATGGAGACCTGCGGTTTTCGTCATTCGAAAGAGGAGACTTGGATGCATGTTTTTATAACCAACATTATTTTCAGAGGAGTTTTTGGAAACAGGTTTCCTAGGAGATCTTTGGAAAACTTGGTCGTCTGTAAAGATTTTCCAATGAGATTATATTGCTTTTTCTCGTGGACTGATAGCTCAGGGTGTCCTCTTCAAAATGGAAGTAAAGTGAGGCCTTGATTTTCTACGGTTTGGGCGTTGTATCGGATTTTCTACGAGTCCAAGGACTGGCACCTGGCGACTATTGGTAGCCTTGAAGACTGATGGACTACGGGTAATCGACTATGCTGAGTTTCGTGGAAATATTTATTTTTAGAAAAAGTTTTAAAAATCTACGAAAAGCCAGTTTTATGAAAATTAGGGTTTTCAGGCTGTTTTCCCCTAATATGAAAAAATTCACTATTCACTTAAAAAACATCAGAACAAGCTCAAAACTTCAGAATGTAGAGTACATGTTTCGAGCAAAGGCTTTATCATAAATACGCTTACTACTCACCTTGACTGTAAATGCTTCTCCTATTTCTGATTTTGTATCTATTATTCGATGAGGTTTAGTTTCAATACGTTTTCCGATATCTGGTAAAAACTGGAGTTTAACAAATAAATCGGTTATACCATCAGCATTAGACAAATAACCGCTTATTTCAACAATCTGTATTTTGAGCTATAATGAAATATTCATTTTAATGTTTCGATAAAATAGAATTATTTTATTCTTACTTCTTCTTTTTGAGTACGATAACACAAGGAATATTCTAATTTACCCAAATAAGATGTTTCTGATTCATCATTTGATATATCAATATTTTCGGAACTTGCTGCTGTGTTAAATGTATCAACTGAAATAGCATCTTTTAAACTTGAATTATTCAAATATTAGTGTTTACCTACTAACAATTGTTCTCAGCATCGGAACAAATATTTTTTGAAATTTATTGCGTAGTTAATGAGGGACGATTCCCAGGTGTCCCTTTGCTTTT